ACATGGCTGCCTTATGTAACAGAAATTAGCTTCATTGAAAAATTGTTGGAGGAACCGAGAAGATGTGTGGCATCTAGGGCTCAGAGACCAGTGAAAAAACATATGCTTGTCCAGGCAGTTCAAGAGGAATGGGACAGAATCCCACATGACAGTGTCTGTAACCTGGTGCAAAGCATGCGCTTCAAATATACAACTGGTATTGCTTCCAAGAGTGACAACATCCTGTGAATTTCATATTAGAATCCCTGTAAATCATCCCTGTTGGTTACATTTTCCAGCCTTCATAATGAATTTACCTATCTCTTGTGGGCTCAATAAAATGTCAGTGCACATGTTTCAGTGTACATGAAAGATTTTGTAAATTTCTTATGATGACACAATAGATGAATTTTTTTAAGGGATAATACATTTCTTTTGGTGCAGCTATTTTATGGTTTAAGAAATGGCTGGTTGAGATCTTGAAGGATGTCTATGATCCCTTCTTGTTTGTAGCTGTTTTTATGTTCAATGTAGATTCGGTTATGAAGGATAATCCTCTGTTTTTCCTTTATACATCTGCTTGTTTTGTTCTGTAAAATTCTATTTACACACTGTAAACGACATGAAAAGGTATTTCTGTTTCTGCTCACTTCATGTCAGAGATTAGCTTCCAGCAGACCAAGAGCTCAATCATCCCTTCATCCCTGAGATGTTCAATCTACAGTCCTATACTAGCAAAGAGAAAAAGCGACATGTTTGAATTATTGGAAGGCAGTCAACTCCTGTCCCTCAGCATATGTTTGTCACCACATCACGTCATTTGAAGTCCTAAAATATTATGTTTGCTGGCAGAGTCTATAGTGTTACTATCAAAACAGACTGACAGGGGAGAAATCCGGGTTCCTTGAATGCACAAATAGTGACCAACGTGCCTCTGAATCAAATATTACAAATGAGAACTGTTGAGAGATTACAAAGATGATCCCAGAGTACCTATGTGTTAAGGACAGGGTCTGCAGTCCGTGTCGGGTTTTCCTCTCAGTCCGTGTCGGGTGCACAAAATAACAGTGACAGTCCGTGTGACAGTGAGTGAGGGAGACAAAGAATGGCGTCCAAATCCAAGCAGGTCCAAAGGTAGGTCAGGGCACAGTCCGGGAGTTCATCAACAATAAATCCATCCTTTGACACAACAAGGTTAAAATCTCCGGGAAGGGGGAAAACATGAACACACGGAAAACATGGAGGATGACCGGGCGAGATCCTCCAGACCCCGGGCTCAGGAAACGGGAGGTGTCGGGGATGAGGCCTATGACCTCAGGAGACGGACGTAGGGTATCCTGGTGCTAGGCGGGCCTCACGACATCCGTACCCTAATGTTGAGCCCCGAGGACTGGAGGAGCTGGACTTTAAATAGTGGTAGGCATAACAGGCTACACCTGGCTAACATAGCAACAATCACGGAAATAATGACAGAAGTAGTGGAGAGCCCTCTAGGGGAGGAATGTCAGCCGTGACATTATGCAGATGTTTACAAAGCCTTATAATGGAGTGTGATGAGTACTGATGAGTTTGATGAGAGCCCCAAATCACACATCGCAGGAGATTTCCATCAAGCCGGTGTAACTGTAGAGAATTGCTTGTATTTGCTAAGAGGAACTCCAGGACGGTTACTGTGATGACTGGGGAATGAGAAGTAAAAGAAAACCAGAGGACAAACTCAAATGACTTGGAAAATAATCCATCAAGCAAGGAGGCTGGAATAAGTGAGGAATTACAGTACAATGCTAAAAGAAACCCTCTTTTATTATTTATTTTGCTGTATTTGTTTTTGTGGGGAGTGAGCTGAAGAATTGATATGCTCAGGTTTTTGAGGGCCATAATGTTTTTTTTTAACTTGGTACCATACTGTACCTATTCAAGGTAAACTTGTTTACAATTTATTTTGTTGTGTTCTCTGATATTATGGACCCTTAACCCATCACCCACGCCAGTACATTAAGTCCAGGGAGGACATAGCTGTGCATTTTGCAGATAAAGCTAAACAGTTGTGGATATCTGGCTCTGGCCAGGGGTCATTGACCTGGTCTCCTGACCTACTGTAGGTATAGTTCATTTTGGAGCAGACATCAGCTCTTGTACGTGACACCACAGCAATAGATGAAAGGTGGGGCAACATTTTCAAGAAGAGCCACTGGACCATAAGTAGAATGTGGACTCTCAAACCCTCATTCATGGCAACAACATGGCTGGACTGAAACTACAGTATATAAACCTGTAAAACTGTTGCAATGCGGGATGCTGTGGGAGATACACCCTATGTGTGTCTTCTTCAGTGTTCTCCGGAAGAGCCCATTTTCGTTACACTTAAACTCATCTCAAACCATCATTGGACTGTCCTGTGACTCCTTGAATCTCTACAAAGTAACCCTTAATGTTTACCTGCTATATTCAGACCATTTACAGACCTACAATAGATCACAGAAATGCTCAGTTGACACCCCAAGTAAAGGTTATGTCTAGCATTCACACACTACTGTACATTTAGTAGACAATTTTAATGCTCAGCACTAGATTTTGGGGCCCAAGTCAGGTTTAGGACGACTGTTTTTTTGCTCCTTTCTGAACATTTTTTTTCTGAGACTCTCTGGGGTCTGCATGGCGCCGTATAGCGCACGCTAATTGTATCCCAAAAAAATGTCGGTCGGATCATGAGATGTAACCAAGCATTATTGAATCTCATTTACTTGGAAGAGCTTTGATCAAAGGTCTTGGTTTTTTCCCACTCATACCTTTAAGTTTGGGGAACATGTCAAAATCTGATGCCCAGAGAGCCTCAGATACAGTGTAGATTGCGGAAATACTCACTTGACACCCCAGGTAGGGTTAGGATTGGCATTAACACACTGCTTTGACAATTGTTTAAGCTCAGTGCTGGACTTTGGGGCTCAAGTCAGTTTTAGGACGGGACATTTTGTAGTCCTATTTGATATGTTTTTTTCATAAACTCTCTGGGGCCTGGGCGGCGCAGTGTACCACGAGGTAGTTGTATCCCGAAACTGAATCGGTGGGATCAAAAGTTGTCTCCAAGCATTATTGAATCTCATTTAATTGCAAGAGCATTGATCAAAGGTCTTGATTATTTCACACTCATACCTTTAGGCTTGGGGAACATGTCAAAATCGGATGCCCAGAGAGCCTCAGATATAGATCGCGTAAACGCTCACTTGAAACCCCAGGTAGGGTTAGGGTTAGCATTCACACATTACTTAGACAATTTTAAAGGTCAGTGCTGGATTTTGGGGCCTAAGTCAGTTTTAGGACAGGTGGTTTTGTAGTCCTATCTGAATTTTTTTTTTCAGAAACTCTCCGGGGCCTGGGTGGAGCAATGTATCGCGCACTAGATGCATCCCAAAACTGAGTCGGTGGAATCAAAAGTTGTCACCAAGTATTATTGAATCTCATTTAATTGCAATATTATATATGAAATGTCTTTGAAATTGTTTCCCACTCATACCTTTAGGTTTGGGGAACATGTCAAAATCGAATGCCCAGAGAGTCTCAGATATAGATCGCGGAAATTCTCCCTTGACACACCAGGTGGGGTTAGGGTTAGCATTTACACACTGCTTGGACAATTTTTAAGGTCAGTGCTGGAATTTGGGGCTAAAGTCAGTTTTAGGATTGTTGGTTTTTTGCTCCTGTCGTAAAAAGTTTTTTCGGAAACTCTCTGGAGCCAGGATGGTACGTCGTACCTCACGGTTATTATATCCCAAAACTGTGTCGGTTGGAACAAAAGATGTAACCGAGCATTATTAAATCTTATTCACTTACAAGAGCTTTCAACAATGGTGTTGACTTCTTCCCACTCAAACTTTTTGGTTTGAGGAACATGTCAAAAGTCGATGCCCAGAGAAGTTCAATTACTGTATGTTGTACCTGGACTTTTTCTATATTTGAGACAGGTTGTTTTGGTTATAGTTTCACTAATCGTTCCCTTTAATACAATGACAAACTGGTGGAATATTTTGCTTCTGTGAAAATTGGCTCTGGTTTGAGAGTGTGATAAATATATTAACTTTAAATCTTTAGTTACTTGATCATTCTTTTTTTATTGACTTTTTATCTACTCTTTTCTATTTTGGCATTCATCGCTTCACTTTTGATATTGCTCTTGCAGCTCGGCAGGAGAGAACCATGACGTTTGAAGGATTCCTCAGGTTCATGGAGTCAAAGGATTGCTCGATCTTTAACAAGGAGCACACTACTGTCTACCAGGATATGGAGCAACCTCTGTGCCACTACTTCATATCATCTTCTCATAACACTTACCTCACAGGGGACCAGCTTCTGGGACGAAGTCATTTATTTGCCTATGTAAGGTACGCCCTCAGGATGATTCATAATGCAGTGAGAAACAAAGAGGAGCTCCACAGTTTCAGAGCTATTAACAGATTTGATTATATGAATGTTGCCTCTACTCAGGGAAAACTATTACAATAGTTTAAAAAAATAAACAATGCCGAATAGAGACACAATAATTATGCCATAAAAAATGAGGAATTTACATTTTTATTGCATGCTTTCCCCCTATAGATTAACAGTATTATTTCTTAGACCAGAGGGACAACTATCTAAGTGAATGCCTGTAAACAATATCTTTCCATTACTGTAATGTTTTCACATTCTCAGAATCTTTATTACGTATCTTAATTTGAAGTTATGCAAACATTTGACAACAGGGAATCATGAGCCAACAAAGAGTTTTCACCTGGCAGGTTTACAGCGTGTTGATTTTTTTTGTTGGTCTTGTAGGTTATTAAGCCATCAATTAAATAGTTTGTAAAATCCATCTATTACTGTGAGACCTGCTACCTAAGCTGGTATGAGCAGCAGTCTGGAGACAGGGACGAAATCCAAGAGTAAGCCCTGAGCAGAGCAGACTAAACTAACTGGCTAAAGATATGGTCAGACAAGCAGAACAGAGAAGAAGTATAGGGAAAATCCCAATACAAACCCAATGAGCAGGCAGGGTCAAAACACAAAAGTCAGTTCAATCGAGGTCATGGGGTGTAAGGGTCAAAACACAGACCAGACAGCCAAGTTTCGGGGAGATAGTGAGAGACATGGTTGAAGACAAAAAGGTATTTAAACCATGAAAAACAAGCAAGCCGTGAAAAACAGGTCAAGATTTAAGAAATTACCTGATGACTATGCATACCTGCTGGTGCAAGTGAATTACTTAATAACTAATTAGGGCTTGATAGGAGTCTGGGGGTTTTGATAGTTGTCCTGCTTCAGTGACTGAATAACTGGCAGACTGAGTGGTGTCTCAGCCAGTCACAGCGGTACTAGCGCTGCATGAGCTAGCGTTCTCACTGGTACTGTATGTAAACTGTATTATTTTTAGAAATCCCTTTATTCCTGGTAAGAGTGGTGGCTTTCTGCTTACGAGAGTCAAACCTACTGTATAGCCCAAGAGCTGGGAGACATCTGGGCTAACCTTCATGAGCCCTATTAAGCTTCTAACAATTTTTTGCTTCATTTTGTACCTATGAATTTAAATGTGGGTGTTTTACATGGTAGATCATAGCCTACCTTTACCGAAAAGTCACTTTTGCGAACTGTGTACATACA